ATCATGGCTTCGATTCAGAGAGTTTGTTTTTGAGCCGTTCGCACACGACTTGCTCTTATTGAATAGCAGCTGTCATTGTTGCTCCATCCGTCTCTGAATATTTGTAGTATAATCTGAAAAATTGTCACTAACTCTGAAAAAGATAATCAATCCTCTCATTATATTTTAAACAAAGCTCAAAGCAGATATATTTCCTGATTACATTCTGTGTCGTTGTTTTTGAAACTCTCAGTTGACTGCTTTTGAAAAATGAAAGATTTGTCCACAAATTATTTCTGAATTTTGCTGTTTCTTCGTTGTGCAGTTATTTTTCTGAATATTTGCAGTCTACGGTTTATTACCTTATGCCTACCAGCTATACGGAAGGTCAATCCTGTTGAATATCTTTCTACACTGCATACGACACTTCTACGATGGCTCTCGTAAAAGCGTAAGCTTAATTTGCTTGTTGCTGTTGTTTCTCACTACAAATACTGGTTGTTTTTTAAGGAATCATTCTAATGATATCATGCATTCTAATAATTTGAATTGCCTTCGAATTTCAGTTTGGAAGTACAAGCTTGTACACAAAATTGTTGTGCGGTATCCTAATAGCGGCCCTTCTCGACACAGTTTGGCGGAATTTCGTTCCATTCTATTTAGCAGGAATTCAGCATCCTTATGGTTGGTTACATTTTGATCTTTCAGCTATCTTTTAACCTTAAGCCAATTCAGCTGTATGCAAATGCGATTTTACCAACGACTTCGCATTTCTTCGATTCATTTGCTGATACTGAATATTGTTCCAGTACTGAACAAATATCAAAGGATCTTAAGGAACTGAAAGCGAATCTTAAGGAACTGTTCGAAATTCTCATTCAACTTTTCTTGATCGTTTAACAATTCTGAATTTGATCTCGTTGCCGTTTCAGTCGACGAGAGAGCTGCCATCCAAGAATACACACTGATTGGTTCGATTGTACTCGCGAATCTGATGATGGCACTGGATGTTCCACCGAACGTGCAATTCACCATTTATTATGAGGTACACGACAGTGAGAGGCAGCAAAACAATGCGACTGCACTACACCGATATCATTCGAGTGATAAACACCTATTTGCATTATCAAATAATTAATAATCGACGATGGGCTGCTCACTGAAGAACGCACCTTACTGCTGGCTGAAGTTGATGCTACTAGAAGTTAAATGATGTGTGTTTGGATAGTGGAAGATGCATTGAATAATGAATTAATCGTGAATCAAATAATTTATTGCGCTGAATAAACGTTTCACGTAACAATTGTATAATGCGATTGAGCGAGTTTCAAGTTATGCGTGCGATTCTCGAAGCCTTCAGGTTTATTGAGT